AATCATCTCTTATTTTTTATCTCATCATACTCGCACATCATGTAACTTAAATTTAAGACTTATTATTTTCAGTGAAAAAAGATAATTACTAAACTGCATAAATCATTAATAATTATTATATTTTTTAATTTCTTTAAACACAAAAATATAAAATTTTAGAAAATAATATAATATAATAATATAATAAATAATTATACTAAAAAAATATAACATTAATTATTTAAAACGTGAAAAAATTCCTATCATGAAAATAACCCCTCCCGATTTTTCTCCGCACGGCAAACGGATAAGATTTTACTAATTTGCTTCTCATTCTCCGCATCCGTGAAATTCCTCCTCATACGCGTCAATGGTACAGTACTACAAGGGAAAAGTTGTTTGTAGTCAATTTCTTTTACTAAAAATTTGTACTCCATTATGACTACTCCATCCAATTCTATTCGGAGTAGTTTTAATTCTATAAATATTCCTACTATTTAATATCATCATTAAAATTAAGAATTTTAACCCCTTTTTTCTTTTTTTTTTTTCTAATTTAGCCGTCTTAATTTAACTTATTATTCCAACTTGATTTATTTAATGTTTTAATATTGTAAATGAAAATTTATTTTATTATTCAAGACTAGAATAGATTATAACAGATTATAAAATAAGATCTTATTGTAAATAAATTTTTTGATATGTAATTATAAATTATATAAGAGGATAATTTTTTCTTTTCTTAAATTCTTTTTTATTTATCTTAATATTTCGCATCTAAGTTCCTCAAATTACAGTCGTAAGTTATTAACTAGTTGATTTACCTCCTTAATGCATCTAAATGAATAGTAGTAATTATAAACTATTTCTTATATAAATCTTTTTTATTATCCTTTATTTATCAACCTAATTTTCCTTGGTTTAAGTCCTTGAGAATAATACTAGGTTTTTAATTAAAAATTTATCATAAATTACTTGTCATTCTTTGAAATTGAAAGATAAATAATTATTTAGTGTATATTTAGGTTGAAAAAAAATAGAAATAAAGAGAATTGCTTCCTCAACATCTTTCCATTCCCCTTCCTCATTTAGATAAAAATAAATTAATTAAAAGAAAAAAATTAATGCAAAAGACTTCATTCCCCTTCTCTCCTCTCTACTTCGATTTTCTTTTTTTGATACATTGAAATGGACTATACAAGAGGGATAGCACTCTCATTTCCCTAAATCTCTTTTTGTTTGAGTCAAAGTTTAAATTTAAAATCTTAAATTTTTACTCATTGAATCACCTCGTTAAGTTGCCACTTCAATTTTTTTGGTAATCAAATAAGAGATTTTTTCTTGACTCATCAATTTCCCTCAATTCAAACATACTATTAAATAAATATTATATTTAAGCTTCAATTTTAATATAAAGGAATAATATTTATTCGTCTTATATTCTAAAGATTAGAAAAAATATTATTTCAAAATTACATCATTTTAATAAATATTTATTAAAAAAATTAAAATATTTTATTTTTAAAGCATAAATTAAAATATTTTTTATCATTTTTTTTTCTAATTTTTTAAAAATAAGACGGATAAACACTAATCCTTAGTATAAATACTAGATATGATACCAACAAACTTTCCATTTACTTTATTACCTCAAATTTCCTTTTTTATTTTATCTATTTCTGGAGATTTTCTTCTGGCCTATTAAACAAAAAGGCAAAAATGCCCCTCATATTTCTTTATAAATGGTACCATCCGCCGGTTTCCTTCCCACGTCCGAGCTCGGAGCTTTCTTGCAAAACCCAGCAGAACCGAGAATCTGCAAATAGAGATCCAAATTGGATTTCTTTTCTTCTTTTTCTTTTTTCTTTAAAAGTCATTTATTAAGAGTTTAGAGAGAAAATGTTGGGAGTGTTCAGCAGCTCGATAGTGTCGCCGCCGGAGGAGCTGGTTGCAGCCGGATGCCGGACTCCATCGCCAAAAATCACGTCGACGGCCCTCTTGAACCGCTTCCTTGAGACCAGAGCCTCCTCTGTGTCTGTAAAAGTCGGAGACGATGTCCATCTGGCTTACACTCACCACAACGAGTCCGCCTTACGCCCCAGGTAATTAAATTTCTCTCTCTTTTTTTTTTTTGTTTTTTGTTTGATCGGACGGTGAACTACTAAATTAAACATAAAAACTTTAAATCCATATTCCCCTATACGATGTTGTAAGTGTATTTGCAGTTTCATTTTGTTAAATTTATTCCGTTCTGTGTTGGAATTTATCGGAGGACTGTCCTGAGAAGTCGGCAACCGGACCCCCGATGATTAACTCGCCGTCGTTGTGGTCGTAGATGAAAAAAAGACGTGCTATCTCCTAGTAAATGTTTCTTGGAACTCTCTGGTCATAGGATTCTGCAACCTTTCGTGTTTCTTTTTTTTTGTTTTTTTACTCTGAGCCGGTGCCGTAATCAAAAGGGATCATTGATGATCTGCCGGAAATTTTTTTTATTATTTTTTATTTTTTCTGATTGGTTGCTTAACATCGACAATCCTCTATTATTTTTTATCACGGACATTTTCGCCATTTTATAGGATTTAAATTTATAATTTTTTATTTTTAATTAAAAATAAATATTATTTAAATTATTTAAATCGTTGATGTTTGAGAAATAATTAGATTCATTGGATTAATTATTTCATGTTTATCAGCCGGCCTCAAAAATATTACGAGAAGAGCATGTTAAAGGCACGCTTATTTTAATAAAATATTTTAAAATTTTAAAACACTCTTCTTTTTATTAAAAATAAGTTATTTTAATTTTGTTAATAAAAATATATTAAAATGATATAATTGTATAATTTTTTCTTCTTAAGTTTTCTTAAGAATTAATTAATAAATATTTTTTTATATGATATAATAAATTTATAAAAAATTATTGTTTATCCGTCTTATTTTTTAAAAATTAAAAAATATATATTTTAAAATTTTTTTTTTATGAAACATCACCAAAATGATAAAAAATATTTTAATTTGTATTTTAAAAATAAAGTATTTTAATTTTTTTAATAAAAATTTATTAAAATGATATAATTTTTAAATAATTTTTTTTTAATTTATAAAAAGTAAGACAGATAGATATTATTTTTAATTTATAATTATAATGTATTATTAAATAATTTTTTTAAAAAATTTTATATAATATTATATGTTATTATTTATTTAATAATATATTAAAATTATAAATTTACATTATTATAATTATGTGTTGACAAAAAGAATTCACATGATTTTTGGGGGGGCCATCTAGGATTCAGTGCATCATGCATGTTGACACTTAGCCACTTTGCACCGCTCTTGTTATATCTTACGCACACGTGGCAACACAACACTTTGACCGTATTATTTCTCTTATGTTTTAAAATAATTATTTTTTACTTTAAATTTATTTTAAATTAATTATTATTTTTTTATTATAAATAACCTAAATAACTTAGTATTTTAAAAAAAAAAAATAAGAAATTTTGAATTCGAATTGCATGACATGCGAATAGAATGAAATGAAAGATGAGAGATGATTGCTTTTCATTATATAATTAAAATAAATATATATTATTGTTTTATTTTTTAAAGTAAGCAAATACATAATATTTTTTTCTTACTTCAATATTATCAGAATTTTTCATTTTAATTAACCATCTAATTAAAATATTTTATTTTATTTTATTTTAAAAATATTATAAATAAAAATAAAAATTATCCACAAATATTTAATTTAAGAAAAAAAAATACCCTACATTTATTATTGTAGGAGAGAGGGAGTATTTGCTAAATCGTCCGACGTGTGCCACTGTTTGGGCCCTTTGGGGATTGCAGGTCGGGTCTACCCAGTTGGGTCAGGTTATAACTGTTTGGATAATTATTTTTTCTTAATTAATTTTCCTGATTATTCTTTTAGAAAATAAAAAATAATATAAAATACTTGTTGTTGTGAGGTTTTCATTCGAGAATTAATTATTGGCTCATTGCTTGTCAATTAATAAATCTATTATTTTATTTAGCTTATAAATAAATATTTACATCTACTTCTACCAACTCAATCTTCAAATTTAAGTAAATTTTTTTATGGTCTTCAATTTTAAGTCCTTCAAGGTTAATTGCTGAAGTTTTTTATCTTGGTTCTTTTTTTTTTCTTCTTCTCTTTTTATTTTTTCTTTTTGAACAAAAGGTAAATATATAAACCAAAAAATATAAAGACAAAATTTAAAAATTCTATTAATTTTTAATAAAGCACTCATAATTTCATTGAAAATGATTGAACCTCCTTTATGAAGACAGAATTATCTTAGAACCTATTCATGTCCATGCTCTCACATCTCTTAATGGAACAATTTAATGAGAACAATTTGTTCAGTTCGATAATGGAAATGAGTGATTATAAATGGAAGTGGAAGTATATATATATTTTTTAAGCCTTAATTAATTGTCTGTCCTTTTCAATTTGGTATTTATCTTAGCTTGAATGATTGATAGAAATTAAGTCATGTGTTGTTTAGCGAAGGTTGAATAGTTAGTAAATAAGTGTTATTTTATAAGTTAAATTTAAATTATAAATTTTAATAATAGTATTTCAAAGAATTAATTTTTTAAATATATTAAATTAATATAAAAATATATTTTTAAAATTATTTTAAAAAGTTAATTTTAAACTGTATAAAAATTGACTAAGAAACACATGGGAGGAAATATAGAAGAAATTGTCATATATTGTGGGAGGAAGAAATAGGAATATGATTTGATTGTGGAGCAGCTCTATGATGCCTAACTTTGAAATTTGCTACTTGACTTTTAATTGCACTTGGCTTTAATAAAGAAGACACTATAGTTTTTTTTTCTTAGTGGATTTCACTATCAACGATTTTGGACTTTCTTCTGGGTTTGAAATTAGACTGTGACCGAGGAAGATGAACCTGAGAAAGGATAAGGATCATGTAGCTTTGGACATATATCACATGAGGTCCCCAAGCTAGGGCTGGTAGATGTGAGGGGATATAAATGGTAGAAAAAGATACATGGACCATGCTTTTTCCTGATGATAAGATTAAGACTTATACATTAGGGGTGGCGATTTATCTCAACCCCTGCAGGATTCTGCAAGGATCCCCATCATGGGGACGGGACATGGAGAAATATTTTTTCTCGTGGAGCAAAGACAAGGGCATTTCGTGGGGAATTTTCCCTTTTTTACAAAAAAAATTAAAAAAATATGTAAATTAAATTTATCTTAAATTTAATTCAACTTTCAAACCCAAATCTAATTCAATAAAAATTAAACTTAACTAAATTTTACCTAATCTATCATTAATCTTTTAATTATTTATGTTGAATTGATCTTTATTTATATTTGAATAATTTATATTTGATTTTATATTTAAAGAATTTTAATTAATTGTACTTAAATTTTTAAAATTTTATTCATTATAATTAAATATTAATTAATTGTATATAAAAAATTATATTTTGATATTAATTGATGAAAATAGGGATCCTTGTTCTCTGTAAGGAATGAGGATGAGGGGCAAAATCTACTCCCCGTTAAAAATCTTCGCAAGTATCCTCGCCATTCGCGGGGATGAGAATAGGAATGAGGAGGGATTCTCCAGCCCTGTAAAACCTGTTGGCATCCCTACTCTACATGGCTTCATCCTCTCTTCTACAAAATAGAAGTAATAACTTTTACCATAACTTATAATTGTGAACTTATAAATAATTTCAGCCCCATGTATTGTTAATTAGTTTTACGTTAATGTTTTAACATTATTAACATACTTGATAACAATTGATTAATTATTGATATCGAAATTTGAACTGGAAATGGCAGATCATTTGCAGTGAAGGATGAGATCTTCTGCTTGTTTGAGGGAGCACTTGACAACTTGGGAAGTCTGAGGCAGCAATATGGACTTGCTAAGTCAGCAAATGAGGTGATTTTGGTCATTGAGGCTTACAAGGCTCTCCGTGACCGTGCACCATACCCTCCCAGCCATATGGTTGGCCATCTAGAAGGAAATTTCGCTTTCATTGTCTATGACAAGGTCACTTCCACCTTGTTTGTGGCTTCTGTAAGTTATTTGCCTCACCAACAAAATGTTTTTGCTGAAGCTCAAGTACTCGGTTGGTATCTGACAGCAATTTGGATCTTGTTAACGACAGGATCAATATGGCAAGGTCCCTCTCTCTTGGGGAATCACTGCTGATGGATATGTGGCCTTTGCTGATGATGCTGAATTACTCAAAGGAGCCTGTGGCAAGTCCCTTGCTTCTTTCCCTCAAGGTGGGTGCATTAAAAAATATGCACAAGTAAATGATTGTTGCATATGACAAAAAATAAAATCAGGAGTGAGATAGGCATGGATGGTTACCTCATTGCTTACATGTTTAGTGGGGCTATTCTTTTCTATAGGTTGTTTCTTCTCCACTGCGGTTGGAGAACTAAGGAGCTTTGAGAATCCCAAGAACAAGATCACTGCAGTTCCAGCCAGTGAGGAGGAGATATGGGGTGCTACGTTTAAGGTAAGATGATTTTTTTACTGCTAATTTGCATAAAAACCGTATTATTTATATCAGTGTGCGGTGTATACTAAGTAGGATTGAAATTGGTGAAACTAGAGATTCTAGAAGTCTTCACCAAGGCAAAATATTTTATAACCAATTGTCAATTCCAAAGGTTTAGGTACTTGGTTTAGTGTAAAGTAAGAAACAAAGTAGCAGCAGGCATGAATGTTGTTGCTCTTTGTTTTGTCATGTTTTTGGTGGCAAGGCACCATCAACTGTCCATTTCAAGATTTCAACCACCTCTAAAGAATTCACTTCAAGCCACATATTATCTGTCTTATTATTGCTGAATTGTGTTGCCTTTCTTTGGTGGTTTTGGAATTTTCAGGTGGAAGGGCCAGCACTTTTTGCAGCCACAAAGTAGATCTTTCTTCTCCTCCTTGTATCTCGAAACCCATCCACAGAATGAAAGAGGTTTTAAGTGGTTGCAAATGCAGGGGAACCAATGTGAATATCTGAATGAGTATGTAACTGTTTGTAGAATGGACAAATGAAAAAAAAAAAAAGCAGCAACTTGGTTTTGTAGATACCTTTATGTTTTTAGGAAACTTGTTGTCAGAATAAGTCTGTGATCTTTTCTTCATCCATTGTGCAGCTCCAACTTCTAGTTTAATGAAAGTTGTCTCAGCGTCTGAAATCTGTTATAATGAAATCCCTTTATTCCTTGATTTTACAATTAAAACATGTTGATTCCTCATTTTTCAGTTGAGCTAAACACATACCCTTCACGATCAATTAGGACATAACTATCATGAAATCCCTTAAATCCATGATTTTACAAGAAAAACATGTTGCCAACAACCTAAGTAACGACTTAAGTAGTTCAGTGATTACTTCTTTCCGCTGGAAGTAAGAGGTTTTAAGTTTGAGTTGCATGACATGCTGGTAGAGTGAGATAAAGGATGAGAGATGGTTGACTCTCATTATGCAATTAAGATTAAAAGAGAAAAAAAACCAACATGTTGATTTTGCATTAGCAGCTGAGCTAAACATGTATCTTTTGTGTGCCAAAGGATCATGACTTTATTTAGCCAGCAGTTGATACATTAACTATTGGGAACCTACTTATCATCTCTGATCATTTTTATTTATTCAAGTAAAAATTAGGGAATCAAAAACTAATTCAGCCTCCTTTTGGCTTTTGCTGTTGCTGGGTAAGCTGTTGCCCCTCTTGCTACACATCAACAAAGCCCAAGGGCGGATCACGTCCAAAGGAAATAGTTCAAAAGGGAAAGCCAATGGAATCAATATGAAATGGTTCTGGATCCAATTGTAAAAATTAAAGTTTTGAGGACCTACATTGTATATAATGTTTAAAAACTTTGAATTACTAAACTGATAATTGTTTAATTAAGTGAATATCTACAAATTATAAAGCATTGATTATGATTAAGTGCGAAAGATTTAATCACATGCAATGTTAATCAATTAGTAATTCTTAATATACAAAGAAATTAAATGAATTAGCATTTCTTCATAAAAAAATGAAAAAGTAATTAGCATTTATATTTCTAACGAAATTAATAAGCTGCATGGTTTCAAAAAGATCAGTTAAACTAAATTAGTTGAGGGTTTAATTGACTTGACTAAAATTCTTCAAGGACTTAACTACAAACTTTTAAAACCACAAAAAATTAAGAATTGAATTCTAAATATGTAGTTAAGAGTATAGGAAACCGAGGTTGAGTACAAGGGTGAGAAAGGCTAACTTTGTTGAGGATTGAAATTCTTCTTTTCTTGAATCTTTTAAAATAATATTTTCTTCTCATTAATTAATGGTATCTAATACGAACAGTTATTTCACTCATTGATAGAAAATAAATATTTTTTATTAATTTCATAAAAATTATTAGTTATACTAATTATTTATTGTTTAATATGAAAAAAAGAGTGGGAGAGGATGTACTTAGACAATGTCCCAAAAAAAAAAAATCCTTGTTAAAGGAGTATGTAATTAGGGGTTAAATAATGGGCAAAATAGTGAGAGAAAAAAAGTTAGGTCAACCCCTAGTAAAGTATTTAGAAGACTAAAGTGGCACTTCTCTATTTATACCAACTCATCTTCTACTCCATCCTTCTTAATTTTAGCTAATCTCTCCTTAAACCTCTGCAACTGTAAGTAATTCCACCTTAATCTCCTCTTATCTCCTCCATAATTTTTACTGTCCTTTTTTCCTTTTTTTCTTTTTTTAAATAACTCTGAAGTTTAACTTAATCCACCAATCGTTTTCCTTTCCTTTTGGTTTTCAGGTTTTCAGAAAAGTGATAAAAAAGGAAACAGAGCGGGGAAGCAAGGTATGTAGCTTCTGGTGATAAATTCCAAAGAATTGAACTGAGTATTTTACTGGGGAAATTTCAATTTTTTTTCTAATATTTTTGATCTAATATTTTTGTTGTGTTAATTTTGGGATGAATTATGTATTTTTTATATAATTTTTTTGTTTGGTATATCTGATATGAGTGAGTTAACAAATGACTTCTCGTTATCGAATCTTTCGTTATCGAATCTCTCTTTTTTTTTAAATCGAATATGAGATTTTTAACTTGAAGCATATCTCTTATTAGTTAAAACATTCTAAAGTCATTATATTCTATATGATTATTAAAGCTCTTGTTGATCTTTGTTAAAGCTCATAAATCTATTCCTTCTCCTTTAAACACAGTTTAATATGTGATTAGTTCTTATATTTGGTAGTGATTTGTTTTAAAAACCGAAGCTCTTCTATTTAATTGAAAGTATGCATAAGTTATTGATAATTTTCACTGCTAATATCTACTCATAATAGCTTTGGAAGTTCTGCCTTCATCAACTTCTAAAGTTGTCTGTTTATTCATTTCAATTTTGTATTGATTAACTTAAAAAATTTTATTCAGTCTGGACTGGCTAATTTAAAGACCAGTGATAGACCATTTTGTGCCAGTCCGGACTGATTTTCTGCGATCTGCTAATTAATTGGTCTTCTTTCCACTAATGGTTTTCAAGCAGTTCACCTTCCTAGAAAGGTTAGGTTCTTCAAATCTACTTTCTATGGCTCAGCAAGGGCATGAGCAGACCTCAGCTACAGGTGTGGTTGGTGGTGCAACCCCTCACCCATATGGGGTGAACCCCTACCAACATAACCAGATGATGGGAATAACAGCACCCAGGTTTGCTGGCTCAATCCAATCTCCTACCCATCCTGCAGCTCTCTCTGCCCCTTCATCTCAGCTTGCTCAACACCCGCTTGCCTATCAGCACATCCACCAACAACAGCAACAACAACTGCAGCAACAGCTCCAGCAGTTTTGGACAAATCAGTGTCAAGAAATAGAGCATGTCACAGATTTTAAAAACCATAATCTCCCACTAGCTAGGATTAAGAAGATTATGAAGGCAGATGAGGATGTAAGAATGATATCAGCTGAAGCTCCAATAGTTTTCGCCAGGGCATGTGAGATGTTCATTCTAGAGTTGACACTGCGGTCATGGAATCATACTGAGGAGAATAAGAGGAGGACCCTTCAGAAGAATGATATTGCAGCTGCAATCACCAGGACAGAAACCTTTGATTTCTTGGTTGACATTGTCCCGAGAGAGGATTTGAAAGACGAGATGCTAGTCCCGAGGGGTGCAGGTTCTGGTGATGGTATTCCTTACTATTACATGCCACCTCAACTTGCTCCTCGGGTTGGACCTGCTGGTATGAGTGTTGCAGACCAAACCCTTTACGGTCAGCAGCCTCGCCCTTATGTGGCTCATCAAATGTGGCCACAGCAGCAGCAACAGCAGCCACCTGACCATTACAAATCATAGCTAGTGAATTGCATTAGAATCAACTGCTTTTTCTTTTATCGCATAAACGTTGAAACTTGCTATTAGGCTCTGTAATTTCATAAAAGATGGGATTTGGCGGCATGTTTTCATTCTTAACCTCCCATCATATGTTGGTATGAAACTTTGTGGTATTCTCATTTCATTCTCCGAGTCTGGACTAGAATTGAGAATTATCATTTTAACATTCCGACCTTCGTTGTATTATCAATTTGATAAATATTCTACAAAATGTCTTCTTATATAACTGCATTAAGTTTCTCTTTGTTACTATTTATGGGGAATTATATAGAAAGAAAATGCATAAAAAAAAAAAAAAAAAAAAGGGAAGAAGAAGAAGAAAAAACCCTGGAAACAAGAAGTCTATTTTATTAATCAAAACTCTCCCACTTATGACATGTTATACATTTCACATAAAACCAAAGAGATTATTAGTTCTTAAGATGAGCAGTCCAGGAACAAACTTTTACTGAAACGATATTTATTTATTTTGCGTCTTTGGAGATTCACAAAACTAGGAGGCTGGACAGATATCCTCCAAACTGCAATAATCAAAGCAATTGGTTAGATTTACACCTTTATTTACAACTTCATTATCAGTTTTCTTACAGGAAACGTACCTTCTCCCTAAGTATTCGATGATATCAGTGGTGAGGGTTGATCTTTTCTTATTTTCAAACGCCAGGGATGCAGCCTTCCTCAGTAGGGCAGAGCCAGCAATGCAACCCAACATCGTTGGATTTGTTGGACTGCAATGATCATAAATAAATATACTAGGGAGAGAAGCAACGCAAATATTGGAGACAAGATTGACAAACCAAAAAGAGAGATAGATAAAATTAGCGTTTACTACCTAATGGTGAAATTTCCTTCAGTGGCTGAGATTAGTTGGCGTGCCCAAGATAAAAATACTGCAACACTGGTATGAAACCCATTACATAGATTCAATCAGTCCATGAGAATGAAATCAATTACCTGAACACCAGTTATTATCTACTTAAAAGGAAGAGAAACTCGTACAAGGGAACAAAGTTTACCATATACTTAGAACTAGTTACTATAGATTATTCAAATAAAAGAATGGTTGTGGTCTACGAATTCCAAATAATCAATTACCTTCCAGAAAGTATATCACCTTGGCCACCACAACGCCGTGGGGATCCATAGATGCTAACTGATTGAACTACATAATGCATCAAAAAGTATAACATGAGAAGGTACCTTTGTTGGACTCCATGCATAAGTGCTAGGGCTAAGATGTAAGGTGCATCCCCTTACTCTTTTAAAGGGTTGGAGTACCCCTTGTACTCCCTTCAATGAATTCATTTGCTTATCAAAAAACAAAAAGATGTAAGGTGCAGACAGGTTAACCCTCCCACAACCTCAATCTGATGAAACTGTAAACAAGTAATGGGTCTATTGTCATGATCTTTATAATTGAATGATCAACACATTTAATCATGCACCAAAGAAGTCACAACTCAGATACTGATATGTGACATCAAAAAGTTCTGGAGTTTAAGATGTGCACGGTAATCAGCTTATGTTGTGATTGTCCAAAAGATGTCACATGCATGGAGTTGTGGTCTCCATCACAAGCACCATATGTGCAATTTTCTCAAAGAGCGAAAAATTCTGAACTCAAATGATGTAAAAAAGATCATATATCATTTAAACATAACAAGATTTAGCAATATTGAATGTATAATTAAATAGTCATCTATTTGCATACCTATCTCGCCATCACTAATGATATCAGACTTTCCTTTCCTTAGGATAGTCACACCACCAATCCTGATCAATATGGCACTTTTTATTAGAAACTTTTGCAAGACTAATAGATTCTAACAATTTGAAAAAATAAAAGATAGACAACCTAATTGTTGATTATTTACAAATTGCAAATATGAAAACCATAGGCAGCAAATATCACACTGAAATGCTATACAATGAAACAATTCAGTCCTGTACTTCAAACTATATAAAGCATTGTAATCAGCTATTAATCTACACCTCTGGCACAATGCAAGTCAAAACAGGAATAGGACCTTCACCTTGACAATTGATGCACCATAATAACCCACTTATTTGAATGCCTAATTAATGTGAAAATTAGAAGCTAAGCATTGACATTTCACCTTGAGTTTAACCTAGTATCTATAAGTCCCATGAGATGATTGGATTTAAGGACTTCATTCTGGTGGTTCTGGAGGTATATTACAAGAAGTTTACATGATCAACAGAAACTGAGTTCAGAGTTTTTGTCAAGAAGATAGTTCCGGTCATTATTTTTTTTAGGACAATTTATATCATATGACAATCATGATATGTTTTTGGGGAAGATGCAAAAACAGAAAATGCTCTATAATTGTTAAATTGCAAAAGAAAGTTACCTTTTGGCTAGAGACAGTACTTGCTCATGAGCATCTTGATCATCAATGTCAGAGCTAAGTACTTTCTGAACTAGACGCTTGTATTCATTCACATTTGGAGTCAATACAGCCAAGGGATAACCACTAATAAGATCTATACTGTTTGTTACAAGGAAGAGTCCATCCTGGGAATACCAAGTAAGCAGAAGAAACGAACAAAGGAAAATCCAATCAATATTTGAAGATACAGATAAAAACTGGCTTATTGAGCAGAACTCTTGATTAGACTGTACAGATAATTGCATACCCCATCTATGACAATTGGAACATTTGATTCTCTAGCATGCTTCATGATTTTGCTCACACATTCCTAGAGATAACTTGCAAGGGTTAGACACATTGCATATGGATTGTAATAGGGAGTATAATATCATCTCTATGGAAAATTGTATTTAAGTGCTTCAAAATTGAAGTTCTCAGTAAGACAGGATATGACAGAAAGAAACAAGAAACTTCAATTAAAGGACAACTAGGCCATAAAAAAATCAACACAATACCAAAAGAAAAAAAGGGGGGTAGGGGGTGGGGGGGAACTTAAGCCAAGAAAGCACACCAGAAGAAAAGGATCCCTTCCAAGGCCTGGACCAATAACCATGCAATCAAATCTTTCCATCCATTTATCTACCTCTGCAAGAATCTCACTTGTTATCTGTCTTCTGTCCTCATCCCCAAGATCACTATTTAGCCAGAATAGCACCACCAGTCAGGAATTAAGTGTGTCAGAACGCTGAAGGTACTAACTAGTAACCAGATTAATTTGAAGAGAGGGTAGGGAGAGAGTAAAGATCACCTAACACTGTATGATTCTTCTAAGACAGGGTGCACTATTAATTCAGGACTATAGCTTTTTATAACAGGAGCAGCATCTTTTGTACAGAAGACATGCGACAAATCAGCACCCTGCAAGAGGAAAAAATTAATTTTCACATTGACTCAACTCACAAAACTGTACAAATCAATTTCAGAAACAAACAATCCAGCAGAAAAGGCAACAGAATACCAAGAAGAAAAGGGGAGCAAAAAACTAACAATTTTCAAAGCAGAAATTGCAGCAAAGTATGGTGCACCAGTGTATTCACGGCACCCACCAACAACAGCTACCTTTCCTGATAAAAACACAGTACAACTAAAGTTATAAAACAAAAACTGAACTGAATTGCAGACAAGTTCCATTCTTTCCCTTATAATTCACAACCAACATACCCCCAAAATTCATGTTTTCCCTATATCTAAATTTGCCAATAGATTCACATGGGTAGATGAAACAGAAATCCAAGAAATAATTTTTATCATAAAAGAAGCAAAACCCATATGCAGCATCTGCCAATACATAAATCTTGCACAAAACAGCAGCAAGCAAACAGTAGCATTCCAGTGAGCTGACCTGCTTGGCCTTTATGCCTACTCCGGTCAAGAGTCGGAGTAATTGCCCTCAAAATAGAGTCAGCATCGGCTTCCAGAGAGGTTCCACTCATGCACTTCACCGCTTGCATTGTTCTGTGATGAGAGATGCCGCCGTGACTTCCTCCTACTCCAAGAGCCCTTATCAAGAACTGCTGTCTCCTCAGAACAGCCGATAATGCTAACATCCGATTCTCTGCACAAACCCAAACCCCAAACCCAGAATGATGCCATGTCTGACGCAAAATGGAGAAGCTTGACAGTGAAAAGTCCACTTTACCCATATATATTTTTTAATCCAATTTCCCGTTAAGGATTAATTAAGAGGAAAAATTTTGATTTTATTTAAATAAAATTTTAAATTTAAGTTTTATAAATAAAGTAGTAAGCTTTGAAAGAATTTTTTATATTTTAATTAGTTAAGTTTAATGAAGTTTTTGAATATTAAAAAGTTAATAAAAAATATATTTAGATAAAAATTAATAAAAATAAAGAAAAAAAAAGAGACATAAAGAGAAGAGGGAAAAAAGGTAAGAGAGCCAATGATTAATATTAATTTTGTTAGGATAGATTAAAAACAAAAAAGAGATTATATTTTTTTATTTAATTAAATAAATTTTAAAAAGAATTACAAAATTAATTAAAATTTTATAAATTTATATATAAAAATAAAAATTTTCATTACAATTTTTAAAAAATAAAAATAAATTAAATCTCTGTAAATTCTCAAGCATTAAAAATAAAGAGTTTGGAGGGAGTCCGTCTCCTCCTTCTACCTCCCTCGCTATTTTTATCCAAACAAAAGAGAGTGGAGAGCTCTCAATCCAAACGGAGGTTTAAAGTCTCGACCTTTGCTCTTCCTCCCTCCAACTCCAAAATTTGCCACCGGCTTCACTATTTCCGGTTTCTCTCGCAATCGCCCGCCTGCTCCTTCACTGCCGTCCGTCTTTGGCGCCGGCGTCTTCCAGATTTGCTGGCCGAGTAAGCTCTCACCCCTCTTCGTTTTCTCTCTTTCTTTAGATAGGCTGCTTCTTCATTGCTTTCATTACCCTTTTGCTAGCTCAAGACATTTCCTTTTGTCTCGAATATATATACATTTCATTAAAATTGTTGCTGCACTTGTAACACGTTTTCCTGCAACTTGTGATCGGGATAATGAAAATTGGGATATTATATTGAAATTCATTTTCTTGCTAAATTTCTTAGAGTAATGAATTAGTAATGTTAGATCCTCAAGATGCAGACTTTTGGTGTTAATTCAATTAAAAGAACAACTAACAGAAGAGAGAAACAATCTTATAGGTATGATATGCGATGCTAAGTTGGTAACACATTTGAGAATGAAAGGGGCTATGCTAATTTAGGAAATGAAGAGAGTATGCCAATCTACTTGGTGTTGGCAATGCATACCAAATGAAATAACCAAGTTGGCATGCCTTGCCTTGCTTAAGGTCTCTTAGTGGGGTTATTTAACCACAGTATCTATTTTATTGTAGCCTTTAATCTTATGTTTATTAGTTGATTTCAGGTCTCTTATAAGGTTTGTGTTAACTAGTGGCTGTGCCACACTATGCATGAGTTAGTAAAACAGGAGTAGGAAACTTTAAAATGGTAGTAATATTCTGATAATTAGTTAAATTTTGTAGGAAGAAAATTTAAGAAATCAAAAGGCTAGGCCGGAGATGTTGGGTCAAACAACAACTCTGCTTGGTCACTAATGGCTGCCTAATAATTCAACCAAACACTCTTGGCCTTGTACCTAACATTCCCATATGTTCTATTACAATAAATCTAACAAAATGTCCAAATGCTCTACCAAAGAAGAATTTAACTTAAAATCTAAAAGTGTTAGGTATTTAACCACTGGAACAAATACTTCTTTCTTTTTCACTTCTTGATCTCTATCATGGCAGCTGATGCAATTGTTTCGACTCTGTTGGAAAATTTGGCTGCAATTGCTCTAGATGAAATAGATAAGGAGGTGAGATGCATTATCAATGTTCGCAGAGAAGTTGAAAACATTAGCAGCAATTTTCGAGCCATCCAAGCTGTTCTGGAGGATGCAGAGCGGCAGCAAGTGGAAAAGCAAAAGGCAAGCATTCGAGATTGGTTAGACAAGCTCAAGCAAATCTCATTTGATATTGAAAATGCGTTGGATGAGTGGAGCACTGCAATTTCCAAGTCAAAACTTGAGAAGGAAGAACTGAAGGTCTGTTCCTTCATCCCCTCTCCTTCTTTTTGTTTTAATAGAGGCAAACTGCTTCATAGAACTGCTTACAAGATACAGGAGTTGAATGAGAGGCTGGATAACATTGCAAAAGAGAGAGAAAGGTATGGATTTAAGGAATTAAATGTTGAAAAACCAAAACGAGAAGAAACTACTTCTCTTGTAAATGTGGAAGAGATATGTGGTAGACTTAAGGATGAGGAGAGGATAGTAAATATGTTGTTGAATGAGGGTAGAACAGAAGAATTGGGATCAGGCCTCCACATGATCTCAATAGTTGGCACTGGAGGAATTGGTAAGACTACTCTTGCTCAATTAGCCTTCAATAATGAGAAAGTAAAATCTCATTTTGTAGAGAAAATATGGGTGTGTGTCTCTGATCCCTTTGATGAGATGTTGATAGCTAAAGTAATTCTCAAATCTGTTTGTCCTGTTGGTGATAAGGATGCTGTTGAAAAATTGGATAGATTGGAGGATGCATTACAAAGACTGAAAAACTCAATTGAGGGTAAGAAATTCCTTCTTGTCCTAGATGATGTGTGGACTGAACAATATGGAAAATGGGATCAATTGAAGCACTCCTTGAGTCATGGTTGTCCTGGTAGCAAAATCTTAGTAACCACGCGTAAGGAGAATGTGGCAATAACCATGGGTTGCAATACAATTTTTCCAATGGAGCAGTTATCTGAAGAAGAAGGTTGGTCATTGTTTAGTCGAATAGCTTTTTTTGGGAGGTCCAACAAAGACTGTGAAGATTTGGAAGAAGTTGGGAAGAAGATTGCAAGGAAGTGCAAGGGTTTGCCACTTGCTCTGAAGACTATTGGTGGTCTCATGCGCTTGAAAAAAACTGTAAAAGAGTGGCAAATTGTCTTAGACAGTGAAATATGGGAACTTGAAGTGGCTGAGGAAGGTCTTTTCCATCCCCTAATGTTTAGCTATTATGATTTATCATCACAATTGAGGCAATGTTTCTTATATTGTGCAATCTTTCCAAAAGATCATGTAATAGAGAAAAATAAGTTAATCAAGTTATGGATGGCGCATGGTTTCCTTAAGGGGACTCAACATCAAGATGTGGAGATGGTAGGGGAAGACTACTTCAATGACTTGGCAATGCGCTCCTTTTTTCACGATTTTGAAAAAGATGAGAATGGTGGCATTGTCAAGTGCAAAATGCATGACATAGTGCATGACTTTGCTCGATTTCTGACTAGAGGTGATTGTTTGACAGTGGAAAGAAGTGGTATTGAAGGTTTCAGTTTCAATGGAAGAGCTCGTCATGTGATGCTGATCAATACAAAATCTAGTGCATTTTCTAATCATATTTATACTACTGAAAACTTGCATACACTGCTAATTGATCAGACAAAAAATGGTTGGAATCCTTGCTACCATGATTTAGTGAAATTGTTTGATAAACTGAAATGTGTAAGGACATTGAGGTGTGGTTTTCCTCAAATTGTGAAGTATCCAAAACAGATAGGGAAATTGATGCATTTGAGGCATCTTGACTTGTCAAATAATAGGCAGTTAGAGGAATTGCCCGAGGCAGTGTGTGATTTATATAATTTGCTCATACTAGATATCAGTGGATGTTGGAGGCTCAAAAGTCTGCCTTATAGAATGGGAAATTTGATAAACCTGTGGCATCTTCGGAATAAGGAGACATATTCTGTGAGTTTCATGCCCAAAATGGAGAAATTGACTTGTCTGCGAACATTAAGTTTGTTTCTGATACAGGGTGATGGTAAAGGAGCTGCACTTAGTGATTTGGGAGAGTTGAATCATCTTCGAGGGAAGCTTGAGATAAATGGATTAGGAAATGTCAGAGATGAGTGGGAGGCTAAGAAGGCACAACTTCAGAATAAGGAAGGGCTTACTAGTTTGAGTCTAATGTTTGGTCCCACTGATAGAAGCCAAGTTTCTGAAACATCTATTCTTGTTCTTAAAGCCTTAACACCGCCATCATACTTGGAAAGATTAGAAATATGGGGTTTCACAAACCCAACCATGTGGGTTTGGCCTAGTTGGATAGTGTCACTAGCCAAGCTAAAGAACCTTGAACTTTCCTATTGTGACAATGTTGAACATTTGCCTCCGCTGGGGAAATTGCCATCCTTAGAATCACTAAGGCTAAATTGGCTAAAGAAAGTGAAAAAGGTGGGAGTTGAGTTTTTGGGAATAGAGACATCTTTGTTTCCATGTTCATGGTCTGTTGTTGCCTTCCCCAATTTGAAATCACTGGAATTTTTATTCATGGAGGAGTGGGAACAGTGGGATTATGGAATCAGGGGAGAAGAGGATCTTACTATCATGCCACACCTTTCTTCCTTGACAATTTATGACTGTAGGGAATTAAAGGCACTACCAGACTATATTCTGCAAAATGCTACCCTACAGAGTTTGAATATTACTAGATCTCCAATGATTTCAAATTGCAGCAAAGAAGGTACTTCACTTTCACTTTCACTTTCACTGTTATATGTCATCAACATGCTCAATTTTTTTTTGGTAAGCAACAGGCTTTAACATCTTTAAAAATCTCAATTGAGCTATATGTTTCAATTGATTTAACATCTTTTTATGATACATGTAAATATTTGGTTAACTCTATTGTTGCTGCTTGCTGCCTGATGGAAACAATTTGTACTGTTGCATGCATTCAAACCATGAGCTCAACTGGTTTTGGTTTCAAATGTGCATCACCAGCTTAAAGATATAGATTCTATTCCCTCCCTACAGTTTGTAACATTGTTCTGTTAGTGGTATTATACATGTCATGTTTCCTTTTGTAAAATTTCTTCTGATTTCTGTTTTATTTCTTTTGTTCCGAGAATTTTAGGAGATGAGACCTATTACAAGACATAGATCTTTTAGAAGATGTGGTGGAAGGATGATGATGGAATGGCTTGGCTTGTCACTACTCACTAGCTTCCGCATGCCATCCTCACTAGTAGTGGGTGTTTGTTTTATTTATTAATGCAACCTTTTGTTATTCAGTGCTATGTCAATTTGTGTGTACTGTTTATTCTGTTCTCTAGGATGGATTGTAAGAGAGATGGATTGTAATCTCTTTATCATATTGAATTTTTTTGCCACTGGATGGCTGTGGATGTTTTCCCATATGGGGGGTTTTATTTTATCACGTTATAAAAAAATTGGTGTTGTGTTGTGTAGTATGTATAAGATATTCAAAATATTGGTTCTAATAGATTTTGAGTTAAAAATGATAAATAATTGGTAGGTTAATTAATATTTATTATTTAATAAATTAAAATAAATAGTATATTTTTAAATATCATAATTAATTATTTAAGAGAACAAATAAATTAACTTTAAGGTTATTATTATTAAAAATGTTGTTAATATCACTAATTTTTATTATAATTTT